TTCACTTATATGTATAGACGCGGTTAATTAATACACTAATACACAACTGCACGCACGACGACGAATTTCGCTGAAAGTATACATCTTTGTTTCCTTATATATTGAATGATGAAAATTTACAGCACTTACGAGAAAGAAGTTTACTTTTAACAACTTATTATAAGACATAGTCCTTGGGACAGGAATAAATGCAAAATTTATTAATTTATAATGGTCAATTTCTGAGATAACGAACGACCTACGTTTCACTTTATATTTAATTATTGTAGATAATATCCAAATTTATTTTACATACGCGAAACATAGTCACTGTCAATGATCGGATAGCATCGGCTCAATTACGGAGATTGACGAAGTTAGCAACCAATAGAAATGCAGGCGCCATATGACTGCACTCACTAGCCACACTTGCTCACCAAAAATTACTACAGTGGATAGTAGGTTTTGGTGGAAAATGTTTTCATTTGTCAGATTTTGTCTAATTAAATTAGAGAAAACTATAATCAATTTTTGCTACATTTACAACTCTTACACAAAATATTAAAACTTGCTATTTCAATGTAGCAAATTTATCTATTTCTTTTGTAAATTTATCTAATTCTGTAGCACATTATGCTAAAAGTCTCCTTATTTCCGGTCATTGCAACCATTTTTAGTAATTTTTACGAATGTGGGTCTCTCCGTGTATGTCAACGTCAATACATCAATGTAAAACATAACCTCACTTTATTGGACCAATTCTAACTTTTTGTATGTAACAGGTTTGTTAAATTAATATTTATACATATAATAAGAGTAAATAATCTTGAAAAGAAATTGTCTTCTGAATTTAAAAAATTAGTTATTTTAATTAACTCAATTAATTAAAGCGAATTTTAAAAAAGTTTTTTTTTCTAAAGGAATTTTCATTAAAAAGAAATTTTGATTTAAAAGACATTTTTATTATTAAATCAAAAGTTTAATATTAAATAATTTAAAAAATTTTGTTATTTAGTTGTCAACAGTAAAATAAAAAAACAAAATTAAAAATATAAAAACTATAAACTGTAAAATCAAAAGATTTATTTTATAGAAAATATTTCAAAAATGTCAATACACAACTGTTCAGTTGCTGAACTGGCGGTAGCGCTAACGCCACGACAAACTTTGGAACATAATTTCTCGGAACGCCTCGATAGTGCCATGAAAATAACTTTACAGGAAACTATGAACTATGCAGTAATAATCAAGTTCAACTTTATATTTTCTTTAACAGTGTTATGCAATAGCTGTCTAGTAATTCGCCAGTTAAGCTAGATTAAACTTCCATGACTAAAACTGTGCAGTAACTTGAATAAATCTAGTCATGCTACGACAAATTTCTACTAGGGTACTTCTGAAACGTTTAAGTGAGCCTTTCACTGACCTTGTCAGGTATTCAGTAACGGGTCTAGATTTTCTAACAATAATATTCCAATCTAGTAAAACGTTCTGAAAAGTGCACAACTTTCAATTGATTTCGCAGCCATACACTATCTCCATTGATATAGTAAAAATTATATGAACTCCCACAATCAGAAAAAGTTATATTTGAATCAACGAATTTTTTTCCACAGGCACAATGTATTTCTTTAATTTATTAAAAACTTTTCTACTCTTATTGTTAGTAAAATATTTATTCGATTTAAATAAATGTTTGGTTCAAAAAATTTGAAGGAATAATTTAATTTCATGAACCACATGATTTAATTTACTTATCCAATAAATCAATATATTGGTAGCCAAAAAATCCACGTGAAAAGAGTTTCTGGGAATTAGACGGAGAAATTCTTAGGAATTTCCCGGGAGTGAAAAAAAATTGTTGTATTCATTTGTTTTTTCACTCCCGGGAAATTCCCGGAAACTTTTTCACTTGGGAAGAACCAACACAAGCTATAAAATTAACTGATAAATTAGTAGATTTAACAGTTAATACTGTATTTTATACAACTGATTGCATTGGTAACTTCTACTGAATCAGTTCATTTCTAAAAATGATTAGTAACTCAATTCTAACTTTTCTTTATTAATGTTTTTGTTTAAAATTATCAATACTTATAGGTTAGAATGTAATAAATACAAATCTGTAACCAAAAATTAATTTTAACAGCATTCAATTACGTCAAAAATGCTATCGAACTTTTAAAAATGAGATTCCTTGAAGTATTTTACAGTAATTTGTATAATTTCAAGTATTTTATAGACTGCTCAGATGAAACTAAGTCGCAAAATGGCATTTTGACAGTTGGCAGCTGTCAAAAATACTGTCAAACTTAGAAAATTGTAGATTTTAAGAAATTTTACCTTTATTTCGTCAAACAGAAGTATTTTTTTCACATTTGGAACCGATGAATTAGGAAGTGTAATGAAATAAATTCTAAATTTCGCAAATTATCGATCACTCTAATATATAGAAATATGAAATATTTCCTGTATTTATTTTATAAGAAAAGAAAAGAAAAATAGCGTAAACAGTAACAATCTGGGAAAATTGTATTATGAGGCAAATTACTGAGCGCAAGAGTACACCATAATTCCCTATATATATATATATATATATATATTTTACATTCTATTATTATCAGTTATGTTTCCTACAGTGTAGCAATCATGTAATGATATATCAAATTCATAATGATTGCGAATAAAAATATCTCATTGTTATCAACAAAAAGTGTCGTAATTTATGACTATAAATGTAAAAAAGTTTGTAGAAAAATCCATCTATTTCGTTAAATAAACATTTGCCAAAAAAATTTATAATGAAGGTATTTTTTCTTCATAAACAACCATTTTTTTAAAGTACTACTTGGTTGCTGCCATAAATTTTAACTAAAATTCGATTACAGTTACCATTGATTGTAATAATAATTGATTATAATTATCACTTTTTATAAGTACCATTAATGTTAATGCCGCATATTACAGATCTGCAATCTGGTTCTGGAAATCAAAACTGGCAATTTTCTTGCGGCAAAAATTTTTTTTTGAATTGATTTACTTCACTATACGATAAAATTTAAAATCAACGATTCCAAATTTAATTTTTCATAAAATCGTCTATCATATTAAATCCACCATTACAGCTTTCTAAAATCGAAATCCAATCTCATAATATTCGGCTTGAGAAAGCCTTGTGTAAAAATTAAGACTTTATTTTATGTAGTAATAAATATGTATCTCAATTTGCAATTAGAATTTTCGAAAGTGGTTAAAAGTTAAAATTCTATTTTCCTCAAAAATTTTACATCTTTTTGTAAGATAAAAATAAAACAGACTTTACATGTTTTTTGTGTTCTCTAAAAATTATCCGACAAATTTGTTTATCTCTCTGTCCTTCTCTCGGGTATTGTAGATTATACACTAAAAACAATTTCTTTCCCGTTAACAATAAGGTGGTTAAGTTGAAGCAGACTTTTTTGAAATGACAGGGATTTATTGTAAAATTAGCAATAGGTGCAAATTTAAACCTAATAAAACAAAATTTGTTAAACAGTAATGTAATTAGCCAACTAAATATCCTTGTCATTTTAACTAACTGTTCCTAGCTGGCAACGTTACTAACATGGTACAATAGTTGATTTCTTGTAAACGAATATAAAGTATTTTTTTGAGTGTACAGGGGAAAAATTTAGCATCAGCGAAGAAAGCTAAATATCTTTTTCTCTCAAAAGTTTTGCGTCCACCTTTTCGGAATAATTTTCTTCAGTGAAGTAAATTTTCACGTGGGCGGAAACGTGAGACAGTTACTCGCCGCTCCGAAGACGCAATGTAATGTGCGAGTCTTGAATTTCAAGAGGATCCATGAAAGGCTTTCCTCAAGTACCTTGTTGTATCCTCACTCCTATATGGTCTTATAACTTGACGTGGAGATTCGCAAGCGATTTCTCTCTGTCATGGACTGTCACTGGACTGGGTCAGCTGCATTTTTAATGACCAACCGGCAGGGTGTGTTTGTTTTGAATTCAAACAAAAATTTTCTAATTTCAACAATAACATTCAGTACATGAATATTTTTATCCTTAAACATAATTTTTAAAAAATTTAGTTTCAAATTTTTAATATCAACTATTTAAATACTATTCAGTATTGATCGATTTAATTATTTTTGGTATTACAGTTTCAATTTCTAATTAATTATGTACATTTTTAAATTAACTGAATTAATTACATTTTAAAAAATAATTTTTACTAAAATTGTAGAGAAATGGATTAATAAATAATAAAGAAATGCATTTTAATATTTGGCAAACTAGAACAGAATAAGATCTCCACTAATGTCGCGTGTAATAGAGCGCGAACGCACAGTTTGTATAACTAAACCAAGTTTTGAAGCGTGCACGTATGAATGCATTTACAGAATCAACTGATATATTTACCAGCATTATTTTCTAAACATATAAAGTAATGGTTATAATTTAGAAACTCAGCCTAGTTTAAATGTTCTACCATTTGCAACTTACAGCGTTAAATTTAATTAAAATATTAAACTGACAACTTATTTCATTGTCAGTGACTTTAGTTTAACAATAAATTATGTCACGTGTGTTACTATAAATTGCAACAAAATTCATAATTAATAATAATAGATAAATATATAATTATTAATGTATCAAATTAATATTGTTCTTATTATTTACTTATTTAATAAAAATGTTGAAACTGTATATTAAATAGATAAACAAAACAATTAATAAATATTGTACTAATTAATTCTGTGTTATCAAATTCGTGAACTTATTTTTCTTTAAAAATCAATTGAAAATATTTAAAAATTCACTTGTAAACAAACTCTTGATAAGAGAATTTCTTTAAAAACATTTCTCAATTTTCTGCTATTGTGAAATGTTTTCCCAAGTGATAAAAACTATGTATTCTGTCAATAAACCTTGTTAAAATTAACAACAATCAACATAACAAGTTAAACTTTCATTAAATACTTTTAACAAAAAGGAAAAAAATTGTAAAGAATAATCACTCACCGATTCCATATCGAAACCATAAACCATTGTATGCACTCTGAATCGTTGAAACAATTCTTCACAAAAATATTACAAAATATTCTTGTAAATTTAACGAGATCACATGTACCGGCAATGGTCCACATGAAACAAATGTGGATGAATGAAAATCGTGTTTGAAAAAGGCGCGAGCGCGTGTGTGTTTTGAAAAAATTTTATGATAGCACTTATTGTATGTGATTGAAATTAAGAAAAATTCGCGAAAGTGCTTCCGCAGCAATTGCGCTATAGATCGAATTGTGTGGCGTGTTTGTGACACTCAATTATATGACTTCGAATTGAATATAAGCGAGCTTCTCTTGTCGAAGCCTATTCTCTGACTACCGAAGCAATCCGCTATAGTGAGGTTCTTAGGCCAGTATCGAAGAACAGGCCAAGCGAGCGGGTTCGCGCGAACGGCGACCTACTAACGCTCGACCTGCGCCTGATGCGCAAGCGCCCAAGATAATTATTTCAGTCACGTTAAACGAAAGATTCTCAAATAGCTGCGCCTGCGCGTTCTTTTTTAAAATCTTTACGCTTTTATTTCTTTAGTTATACTACCCTTAAATGCAAAAAATTTAACTTTACCAAACATCTTTCTTCACTTGGAAGACGGGATTAAATGACAACAGGCGCACGCTTCTGTAGCGTCCTATCCGTAAGTCTTGAAAAAGCCTAAATGGTTGATAGGACAAAATAGGTCGTTTTTAATAGTAAAAACATGAAAAATTATGGTTTTCTGCAATTACTTCAATATAAAAATATTGAAAATCATTCAGTATCCCAGGTAGAAATTTCAACTCTGTAATGACCAGTCACTGTGAAGTTTTCCTAGATTCTGACCAGTTATTGACCAGAAAATCTGGCAAGTGATTGATTAGAAATGTAACGCGCTACTTGAGCAGTCACTGATTAGATTATCTGGCCAGTGACTGGCAAGTAACTGACCAGTAACTGGACAGTTTTCTGCTCAAAATCTAGAATAAAATAAAATTTTTCCTGGCTCTTTTTATTTTGTTTATAATTACATATTATTTATATTTTTGTGTTTTTTCAAATATTTAAGACTAATGAACAATTACTCTACCAATAACACTTAAATCTAAGAATGAAAAATTCGCACGCATGGGGGATCGAACCCTATAGACCCTGGAGACACAACGCATGTGCGTTACCACGTAGCCACGGTGACTAGATAGTAACTTATCATAACTACAAGTTTAAGAACTGAAGTTCTATTCCGATTGTGACCAGAATTTCTGGCTAGTGACTTTTTAGAAGTAATGATCAGAAATCATGACCAGATAAACGGTTTAGTCACTTGTCAGAGACTTGGCGGCTTATCTTCTCAAAATTTAGAAAAATTTAAACTTTGGTAAAGTGACAGTGAAACAAACATAACTTTTAAACAAAGTTACTTTAGACTTTTCTGTTTTAGACCGTATGGAACATAAAAATTATTTTTAATATCTAATTATAAATGATTGACTAAGAGTGTATTTTTGTGCTCTTTAAATTTGAATTAGTAGAATTCTACTAATTCTTAGTCAAATTCTACTAATTGAAAAGGGGAAAAGTCTTCCACTAAGAATTAGTAGAAAACTACTAATTGAAAAAGATATTTTTCGCTATTAATTGAATTAGTAGAATGTAGAATGTCAATGCGCATGCTCCCGCGTGCGTCTTTTTTACTCGCTTCTTTGATTTTATAAAAACATGCCATCTAAAGAAATGTAAAACTATTTAATTATATTGATTCATTTAAACTTTTATTCAGATTATAATTATAATTGAAAAAGGGAAAGAATGTTTGAGGTTAGAAGTTTATATACTATTTTTTAATTATTAAAAAAGAAAATTGAATATTATATGTTAACTATTTTATCGAGAGTATATATAATACAATAAATAATTTACACCATAAAAATATAGTTAATACACATTTTTTGTATGCACGTTTTTATCATTCATGCAATGATGAAAATACCGGCGTCTAAAGATATATATACAAACAGTTTTTCTACTATATTTCTTACAATAGTGATTGAATAATAAATAATCAAACTTTGTAGAAACTTGCAGTACATCAAGTTGTTTTTTGAGCGAAATCATTTTGATTTAAGATTTTTAAATAAATTACAATTATTTATTACGCCCCTTAGCCATTATGTCCCGTTCCCCCTATATACGTGATTTGTAAATATGATATCAAATGTATGATTAAAAACATGAAAATTCGGATACAGTGGATGTGATAGTTTAATTCTTATAAGAAAAACTTTAAATTTACTGAAGATTTAAAAATGAACAATTAGATAAATATTCTGCATAATTTTTTTAAAAGAACGTCCAAGCGCCTAAACGAAAATGGCTGGTTAACGAACTTAGCCTTCATTTTTACACTAACTTTAGGAGAGTTAAATTTAAAAACGATCCGATAAGTTTTTCAAAAGTTATCATGGGAAGAACATTTTGTGTCTACAGACAGACAGACACCATCGTCAAACCATGTTTTTTGGGTTCAGGGGACCCCAAAACGTGAAGATATCATAAAATTAGCAAAAGTCAAAATTTGCATAAGACTAATACCTTCTCATATGATGAGAATGTAAAAATTAAACTGTTTTTAATCCCAATTTTTTTAGAAAGATTTGAGTAATCTTTATACTAATACAAAATGTTTTCGAGAAATTAAAATTTTAAATCCTTTTTTTGTTTAGGGGTCGAGAATTTTGAGTCTCAAAAACTTATAACCTCTTCTTTGATAGAGACCCTCAATTGTTGCCACTATTTTGAATACAATTTTGTTGAATTATTAAATAGTATTTACAGTTTTTATAGATGTACATTTCAGACGATGAAATATTCTTTTGAATCAATAGCACGTGCTTTTGTTATTACAAAAGATGTATTCGAATACGTTCAAAAACGCTATAGAATGCTATAGAATTTACAGTACCATGCTATAAAATTGACAGTACCGTGCAGTAAAATTGTAGTCATACTTATTTAAATTAAAGATGTTAGGTATTGTTTTGTTGAAATGGTTTTTCAATATGAAAACATATTTCTACTATTTAATAGCATTTGCATTTCATATAAAAATATCATGTCTTAAACTTAAAAAAAATAATATATTTAACAATGATAAAAATAAAGATTTAAGAAGATTTATAAAATAAGGTAATTAGATTATTAAACATTTTTTCACTGAATATTTGCTATGCTTACTTAAAAAATTAATTTTTTCTCTCACAAGCGGGGATAATTTCATCAGTTTTGTATATAAGGAAGTTCAAATCAACATCATTTAAATGTATTATGATTGTATGTATGCATGTGTAATTTTAAATAGTGTGTTAAGTTTATATTGTGATAAATCATGAGTTCAGGTCAAGTTGTGATTTTCTATCTCAAATTGTGTATGTTGTGTGCAAAACTTCAAAAAAGTGTATTTTGAAATAAGATTCAGATGTATAAGAGAGCAAAGATATGTTTATTTCTTAAAACATTTTTTTTTATAATTTTATAACTGTTTAACTTTTTAACTGTTGCTTTTAAGCAACAGTTTTGAACATTAAAACTATAGCATCATGCTATAAATTCTTGTTCATGTACTTTAAAATTGATAGCATGCACTATTGATTTAAAATAAGGTAGAAATCAAATCACTAGTACATGCTATTAAATTTATAACAGATTTAATTATAATTATATCTTAAAAATGCATATCTTGATATTATAGTATTTTTCGTTAATACTATAACTTCTGTTATAATATTATATAAAAATGTATTTTAATCTATAGTGCAATAATCAATAGCATATCTTATTGAACCAACAGTATTTGTATTCGAACGATATTGAATATCCCGTTTATTGCGACAAACAAATATATTCATTGATTCAATAGCATTTTTTTCTCAGTGTAGGTAGAATCTTAAATAATTCTTCAAATCAGTGACTTGCTAGTGTCTAGAAAGAAATTCTTGTCACGATTATGGTCAGATTTTCTGCTCAGTGACTTAACAAAAGTACTGTTCACAAAGTGGAATTGTTTTTATCCAGTGAAACTATCCAGTCACTTATTCAGGACTGGCCAGATTGTCTTAGCAAGTAAAACTCGCTTTTGACTCTACAGCTACTGGAAGAAAACAAGTAATACTTGACAAATTACTACCTGGGTAAGTCAGAGGGAGACGTCCACAGTTTTTTAAAAGATTGTAAAAATTATAAAAAAGCAATTTTTGTCTGAACTTTTACTGATAATTAAACATTAAACGTTTAGCTTTAAAATAACGAAAAATTAAATAAAATATTTTAATACACAGAAAAAAACTGAATTAAGTCAGAAGAGAAACTCATTATAAGCTGCAACAAAAATGAACCTCGTAGATGACTCCACGTTTTATGTCATTAAACATAGACTCATTTTGAGTTGTAACAAATATAAATCCAATTTTTTCTGTTTAGAAACAGTCTTAAAATTTACATTTTAAAAAAGTGCATTTTTGTCCATTTAGCTTTATTTTCATCTTTAATAGTTCACATAACACTGCGTTACAAAAAAATGGTCATGTCATGTTTATTTAAAATTTTCCTGTATTTATTGAAAGCTTAGGTATCACTGAACAAGAATATACCAGAAAATTTTTTTTTCATTCTGTCATTCCCATAAAAAACGAGATTAAAGGGTCAAAAAACCGCATTTTTAGCACTTTTTGAGGCAGCAAAACGCAACATGCAATCCCTACAAGAGCTTAAATAAAAGCTGAAACCTTTAACTTTAAGGCTCAAAACTGAAAAGTTCTTTCACCCATTTAGTCCCAAAAGTCCGTTTTTTTCTCTTCACATTTGCACTTATCATTTTCAAAGATGGTTGGCTAAAAAAAATTTGCACGTCGTGTTTCGCATGTATTTTTTCGTCCTCTTTCAGAATCTGCCAAAAAATAAAAGACTGGGGTAGGTCCATGCCTAAAAAATCAAAGTTGTCCCCTACATCTTCGATTTTGTTGAAACTTAGAAAATTTGCAGTGGAATACATGCCAGTAAAAAGCCCAAAATCAATTTCGAAAAATTTTGGGTTTACGAGGTTTTAAATTTTTTTTTGAAATTTTAAAAATGATATATATATATCAAAGAAAAATAAACGAAATTTAATAAAATTTACAGGAAATGCTTATTATTTACTAACAATTAAGAAAAATATTTCGTCAAAGAAAATTTTTTTTTAAAACAAATTAATTAAAAAATAATTTTTAAATAAACAGTTTTTTGAAAAGTATCATTTTTTTTTGCTTTTAATAACAGTGATTCAATTCCTACTTATTTCACTAGTATTTTCCAAAAAAAAAAATTATGAAAGGTCTGAAACTTTAG